TCAGGCTCCCAGTCGCCAGTTGTGCCTCCAAGTGCTGTATCCACAGGGAGCTCCAGCCCCAGCACTCCCCAGCCTGCCCCCCAGCTGTCCCTCAGTGTCTCCTCCACCTGTCCCAAAGCACCATCTCCTGTACCCCCTTTGGAGGCCACGCCCTCTTCTGCACACCCTTCAGCCCCAGCTCCAGCCCAGCGTCGCAGTATCATCTCTCGGCTGTTTGGGACCTCGCCAGCTGCTGACGTGACCCCTGCACCTCCAGGTAGGCCTGGGAGCAGCCCTCCATGTGAATTTGGGGCTATTTTCTGGCATCTTGAGCCTCATATCCCTCAGAGACTAAAATGTGGTTTCTGTGCCCCTGACAAGCCTTTCCCTCTTGGGCCAGCCACTACTTGGCCAGGTTCTAAAGTAACCTATGGCCTTGAGCCAGGTGCATGAATTGTCACGTCCTAGTCCTACAGGCTCAGTTTTGGTTCCTAGCTTGGGGGCAGGGACCACATGAGGAAGAATCATCATTTCTCTACAGAGCCAGCTCCAGCTCTAGAAGTCCCAGCAAAAGTCCAGAATGTTGAGGATTTTGTTCCTGAAGATGGCCTTGACCGAAGCTTCCTGGAAGATACAACCCTACCTAAAGACAAGAATAAAATTGGAGCCAAAGGCCCACAGCAGGATAGTGACAGGTAAGGGCAGATTGGCAGAGCTGAGCACAAGGTCCACCTCAAGGGCAAGCTTCCCCATCCCATTCACACCTGGATCACCAAGACACCACTGGGATTGTGAACAAACCTTTCATGTGCTTGCTGGATTGGCAGTTAGCTTTGAAAACAAAACTGAGGGAAGGGCTCAGGCCATGTGTCTATCAGGCCTACTTAGGCTAATCACTGCCACTGTGGGGTGGGGCAGTTTATGCCTATAGTGGACTGGAGAACACTGAGCTAGAATCTTCCTACGTCAGCAGGAACCTTCACAGATGGTCTAGCAAAGACGGAGCACTCTGAATACATGCTAGCCTAGTCTGTGTAAGTAAAGATGAAGGCCACCTGGGTCTCTCCATATGAAACCAGACAAGTGAGCCTTGGCCAGGTTTGACTTTCTACAGCTAGCCTTTCCCACAACCTTGTCTGTCTTAACAACGCCCTAAAATCTGTCTACAACTGAGCTCTGAGATCATTCCCTCTAGCATATCAAATGTTGAATGACTGTTAGCGTCTCCAGCATCACAGTGTACAATGGGGCCAAGGGTCTCCCTTCCAGAAACAGATTCGAGGCTTCTAACTGGGCTCTTCTCCTACTGATTACCCCACTGGCTAGCGACAAGGTAGTGTTGCCCTCACTCTTACTCCCACCTATACTCAGCAGCCCCTGTGATAGCCCAGGTCTTGCCACTAGAATATGGTACTACAGACAGGCAGCTCTAAGGCAAGTGGGTGAGGAAATCAGCAGCACATACCCCTCCCTCAGAACTTCTGACTTCCTACCGCCTCTTTGCAGTGACGATGGGGAAGCCATCGGAGGGAACCCAATGGTGGCAGGTTTCCAGGATGACGTGGACATAGAAGATCAGCCACATAGCAAATCCCTGCTGTCCTCAGACCCCGTCCCCAGTAAGAATATCAGTCTTTCCAGTGAGGAGGAAGCTGAAGGACCAGCAGGCCACCCCAGAGTGGCCCCTCAGCAATGCTCGGAGCCTGAGACAAAATGGTATGGGGATGGGGTCCCCAGGGTATGGCTAGCTGAGGCAGTAGCAACCTAGGGTGGCCGCAGAACTCAGACATTTCTTCTTATGTGAAGGTCCTCCACCAAGGCCTCACATTCACGAAAGAAGGGAGCTCCCACACGAGCCATACCCTCATGGTCAGATGGTCTCACCACTGGCTCAGGGCCTGACCACGGCAGTACCAAGCCACCCACTGATGGCACTCCTAGACCCCAGGAAGGGAAAGACAAGCAAGTGTCGTCAGAAAGTGATCCTGAGGGTCCCATTGCTGCCCAGATGCTGTCCTTTGTCATGGATGACCCTGACTTTGAAAGTGATGAATCGGACACACAGAGGAGAGTGGTAAGTACAGGCTGCTGGCTGGGAAGCTGAATCCCCCATTCTTACAGAGATAGAGGACAGTCAAGAAGGTCTGTTTCAGCCAGGCAGTGGTGGCGCACACCTTTAGTCCCAGCACTCAGAGAGGCAGAGGCAGGCAGACCTCTATAAGTTCAAAGCCAGCCTGATCTACAGAGATACACAGAGGAAAACCTGTCTCGAAAGGGGGGAAAAAAAGGTTTGTTTCTCAGAGCAAGGTCTGAAGAGAAGAGAGTGCTCCTGGCTCCAGTGCCCCAGACTCTTTCCTTTCTTACCAATGTTTGTGGTACCTGCTGGAGAAAGTAGACAGGAGTCTATGGGAGGGGGTCCATTGTGCATATGAAGGCCCTACTGATCTTTCTAAATCTGGGTCAGGTTAGCCCCCCCATTCTACCCAATCCTGGCCCCTGGATTCCCAAAGGGACCTGCTACCTTGCTTCAAAGGTCCATGGCAGTAGTCAGAGACAGTAGGCCTACCAGCTACTTTCTTTGCAGGGGGGATTCCCAGTAAGAGAAGAACTCTCTGATGTGACCGATGAGGACACTGGCTCTGCCCAGCCACCCCCACCCTCCAAACCCCCAGTCTCTGCTTTCAGACTGAAGAATGACTCGGATCTCTTTGGTCTGGGCCTGGAGGAGACAGTACCTAAGGAAAGCAGTGATGAAGGTAGGAGGGCCTGGAGCTTGTCCATCTCCTTGGAACCTGATAGAACCTGGAGGGCCTCATCCTGTGGTCCCTCATGCAGGGACCTGTGATCAGAAATCCTAGCCTGCCTACGGTTTTCCTTCATCATAGCTATTAGCTATGAGAGTCTATAGAATGGGAGGAACAGTGTCACACCAGGCAAACATGTGCCCAAACCTAACATTTGCATTGTGACCCAGAATTGCCATCCAAGACTATCACCCTGTTCATGGTTCCTTTTGAGTCCTCTGTGCCAGCTGCTCTGCCAACATTCCAGGCTTTCAGGTGTCCCAGGCCTTTGGGGCAGAATTAGTTTGAAAAAAAAAAAAATGATAGCTGCCCAGCAGATGTGCTTGGAACGACAGCACAAGGGCAGACTTGGGCCAGCTCAGCCCCAAAAGGAAGGGGAAAATTTCATTCCAGGCTAGTTCAAGGCTCACCAGCACAAAAATGCATGGGAACCCCCTACATTGCCGGTGGGACCGGGCTGTGTTGGGAATGGGGTATCTGCAACAGCCTCTGCCTGACAATGCAGAGTGGTTGTAGGTAGGAGCTCAGCTGTCTTTCTTGTGCAGATAAAGATGGCAAACTTCCCTCTAAAGAGAAGAAGAAAAAGAAGAAGAAAAGCAAAGAGGTACATGCCCTGCCCACCACTGGTCTCCCAGCTAGCCTGGACAGTCCAGGTCCTGGAAGGTGGGATGTAGCCTTGTAGGTTGCCCATTGACTCTAGATCTGCTCTTCATGACCTTCAGGAGGAAGAAAAGGCTGCAAAAAAGAAAAGCAAACACAAGAAGAACAAGGATAAGGAGGAAGGCAAGGAGGATCGGAGGAAGAAGAAGAAGCCCCCTCGGAGCAAGGAACAGAAGGCTGCAGATGAGCTGGAAGCCTTCCTGGGGGGCGGGGCTCCTGGCAGCCGCCACCCTGGAGGTGGGGACTATGAGGAGCTTTAGGCTGCCAGGCGCAGTTGGTTTTCCTGGGAAGAGGGGAACTGCTAGTGACTGATTTGGGGAGGCTGCTGCCTATGCACCCACGTTCCCAGGACCACCCTGCCACCTATGTCCCCCAGCCATTGTGTCTGCCCTCATTTGGTCTGGCCCACTCTACACTGATTTTTGTGCTGAAGACCTTGGTGGTGGTCAGGCCTTGGGTCAGGCGCTGCAGGTGCTGGACCTCAACCCAGTAGAAGCCTGCTCTGCAGGGAGGGAGGGGACAGAACAGAGTTGCAGCTGGCTTGGTGGACCACCTGGCCCTCCCCATATAGAGCTGCAGCCAGTCCCCGGTGTTTCTCAGGGATGTGCCTGGGGCCGAGAAGGGACCCACCAGGGTCTGTTTACAGAGGCAGGGTGTGGGACTGCTTGGCTTCTCAAATGTCCACCACCCAGCCCCACTTCCTGCTTGCCTTCCTGAGCTCTCCCAGGGCCATAGCATGGCTTGGGTTGTGGACCTTCTTCCCCATGGATCCAGAGTAGAGCAGGGTCATACCCTGAGCACAGATGTGTACTCGGGAGGGTGTGGCAGCATCTGCTACTGCAAAGTGGCCCAGACCCCGCACTGATTAAGGCTGGCAAGAGAACACAATGTACCACCTCTCCTGTGGGAGAGGCACTAACAGCTTGCCACTGTGTGCCAGCTGTGCCTCTGCCCATTGAGCGCCTGCGCAGGTGAGCCTAGAGGGCGCCTTCTTAGACACTCCGCCCAGACTATAAAGCTCTCCGATTTTACTGTTGTGTGTGGCTGTTTTCTGATTCCCTAAGGTGTTAAAGATGAATCCACCCCATCTATGGGCCAGGTCCCTGGCATCAACCTGAAGAGCAGCTTTGGAGAGGTTGCCACTCCACAATGCTACCCCAAAGTGGTCTGGACTTAGTAATGCTTAGCCATAGCACATCAGCCAGAGGACCTGCGTGGCCAGCTGAAAGGATTTACCCCACAACCTGATGCAGGGTTACTGCAGGGAAAGTACCTGGGAACCTCGGGCCCTATGAGGGCGGTGTATCTCACTCTGCTCCGCCTCCCTGCCTGCTCCTGGGAGCGCCTGCAACCCAATATTTCGCCCCCGCTGGCAGCTCTCCACCCTCGCCCACTGCGGACACGTTACCATGAGAACCCTCCAGAGGCTGGCTGGCGTTTAGCACTGTTAGTGACGTTGGAGGCGGAGCACTACGCTCCGCCTACTGGGGTGGGGGCAAGGCTGAGAGTGCTTTCCTAGGCCTGGGAGGGGGAATTCCCTTTTCTGCTAAGGGCTATGGGGCAAGCATTACCTGGCCCTTTTACCCCCAACTTTTGGACCCCTGGTATGGAGAAAAGTCTACAATGAGTCCTAGCACCGAGGTCTTGTCAGTTCTGGCGCCCAACAAGGCAGGTCTTAACTTAGATCTGACATCCTCGGCCCATCATCTACCAAGGTAGAATGCTAGAAAGCCCAGGGCCTCCGACAAGGGGCACGCAGGGTTAGAATGAGGAATGGACCACATGAAGACCTTTCCCCCAAAGGAAGCAGGCTGTGGCAGCCCAGGCTATCCTGGACACAGAAGGTTGCAGCTACACGTCAGGCTGAGCAAGCCATATGGCTCCCAGGTACCTGCTGAGATTTTGGCGTCTTCAGAGCCAAGGAGGATAATTCCTGGTGAGAGGCCAATAGGGCTCATCTGCTCCCACCTGGGTCCAACCACAGACGTGCATTCTGGAATCTCCCCAAACCCAGATTCTCTGCTGCCAAGCCGAGATTTCGGGCTCCTTGCAGGCCCCTGCCTGGAGTCCTGCTGGCCAAGCTTTTCTTGGTGCAAGGAACCCATGTTCAGACCCAAAGACTTGTGCTTTAAGGGTGCTGCTATTTGTGACCCTTCACTCTACATAGCCCAAATGATAGCTAGGGCGATCACTCGTATCTGGACCCCACTAGACATCTCCCTTCCAGCACGGCCCCTTTAAGTACCACCCTACTGATTACCACTGGGGGCAGCACTGAGCAGCCAGGCCAGGATCAGAGATTCTGCCTCCAAGCTTCTGCCGGTACCGGCTACATAGCCGGGTCAGGTACACACCGGAACCGATTTGGGTTATGCAGTCTACCTGGGCTCAGCTCATGAAGAAATAACCAGGTAAGAGGTCAAGCCAAACCGTCCAGCATGTGGAGCTGTTGGCACGGGAGGGGGCTGCACGGAAGGATGAGTCCCCGCCCCCAAGCAACGCAGACTAGGTCCTAGCGATGGCTGCTCCGGGACAGGCCAGAAAAGGATTGCTGTGGGGAAGGGTCTTCAAAATACCTAGGATACAAAAGCAAACCCTACCCCCATCCCACAGAGAGCCGGTATCACAGCGCCCAGCTCCTGACAGCTGCAGCCAGCAAAGCGTGCTGTCACCTTCCTGGGGCGGAGCCTCATACCCTGTCATCTAGCCCAAACTCTGACCTGGCATGGAGTTTAGAATGAAAGGGGTCTGAATAGGGTCGGCATGAACCTGGGTTTGGAACTAGCCTTGGTACTTAATGAGCCCTGGCTCCAAAAAAGCAGCCTCTCTATCAGAAAGCCCCTTATATACCTGGGACTATAGACTGACCCTGAAAGGCCCATCCACATACAAGTCTTGCCAGGCCCCAACACACTCTCAGCTTACTCTGGAGCAGATGTCCTGGGAGTAGGTGCCTTATGGGGGGAGGGGGTGTCATCACCTTCTGAAACCCTCTTTCTCCAGCCAGTTCCAGGCCCTGGGGACCACAAACACTGGTGGCCCACATCTGAACATTAGCCTAGATCCTTTCCAGTCCATAGCTCCAGGGATGAACAACCACAGGTTTCCATGGAGCTTTCCAAAGCCAGAGTGGGGAGGAATCTGTCCTGGGGAGGGGCTCCCCCCCTTTCCTCTGCTTTCCCACCCTCCCCTCTGCCTCCTCCTAGCTGACAGCCTCCTGCCTTTGGTACCTAGTGGTAGTTTGCAGCTCAGGGAAATGACACTATGAGCTTGTGGCTCACATGGCCCCCACGTGGTTCTGCAGCCTAGACCTGGCTTCAGGAATGCCAAGCACACAATGGGGGTGGGGGGTCATTGCAATTATGGAAAACAGGAGGGGCTCTTTCGCTCTGCAGCCTTCTCTGCTCTAACAAGCTTGGTGGGTTTCATCCACGGAACTGGGATCAGAGATTTATGCAAAAAGAAAAGATATTTGAGACCCAAGAAAACTCTTTGGGGTTATTCTTCTGCCTAGGGCCTCATTAAGTTGAGAGAACATAGGCTTAGGTAAAAAGGACTGTTCCGAGTGCCAGATCACTTTCAGTGCTAGGAGAGGAGACCACTGTCTCACCTGGGACTCTGACTGTCGGAGGGGTACCTCTGCAGTGCTGGTGGGAGGCGGCTATAGTCTCACCTCAAGGAAATCTAAAAGCCCATCATTCCAGCTGTAGGCACCAGAGGGCAGTAATACAGTCACATAGTCCCCCATTGATCTACCCAAGCCTAGCTAGCGGACCCTAGTATAGGGAGAGACTCAGGAGTTCCCGCTGCACGGAGAACGGTGGGTTCACTGTAAGCTAAATTCCTGGCATATCTGCCCCGCAGGCTGAATGGCCTGTGAGGTTTCTCCTGCAGGTACTTCTAATATAGGTATGGAGCCAGCACCAGAAACCAGGACCAAGACCTGCAGCCAGGGCTGCTCCATCCCCTATGCCCCAGGTAAGCCGGCCCAGCACGTGGGGTGGGGTGGGGGTAAAGGGTCTGGGGTGCAAAGGAGGCTGCCCTGACCGGTATCTCCTCCCAGGGCAAAATCCCCGAAAGGCCGAGTGACTGAAACTGCTAGCCTGGGGACGTCTTTTAAGATGACCCGCACGGACCCGCCGGACTTGCTGGTGTCGACCGTGTACCAGGACATCAAGGTGGTGGCCCCAGGGCTCACATCCAAAAGCCAACCATGTGAGCGATCCGTGCCCCGGCCAGCTGCGCCCGCGCCTTTCAACAAGCGCCACTGCCGTAGTTTCGACTTCTTAGAGGCACTGGACGAACCCACCATGGAGACACACCCAGAGCCGCCACCTCCCGAGCCCGCGCCACCGCGCGCCCGGCCCCGAGACAGCGAGCCGCGGCGCCGCACTCGTTCCAAGAGCGCGCCCCGTGGGCCCCATGGCCTGGCGCCTGCTCCAGCTTCGCCGCCAGTACTGCAGCGCAGAGGCCGGGAGACCCAGCGTTCGGTGCGGTTGGAGGGGTCGCCGCACAAGGAGCCCTCGTACCCTGCGCTACGGGCTCTCGCCAATGAGCTGCACCCCATCAAGCTCCAGCCACAGCGTGGCGGCCCCGGACGCATCGCACCTCTATGCGCCACCCCAGGCCGCTGTGCACCACCAGAACCACCCACAGGACCGGTCCCCCATGTCCGCTGCCGTTTAGACATCAAGCCTGATGAGGCAGTGCTGCAGCACGCCGCCCGAAGCTCGCGATCTTGCGCGCCCAGTGAGGCGGCGCCCTGGGCTCGCACCGTCCCACAGTTCCATGGCCTCACAATTCCAGGCCCCCGCCATGTGGCCCTGTCACGCACTCCCACCCCTAGTGACTTGTACTGTACTGACCCCAGAGCAGTGTACTGCGACGGGCCGTTGCCTGGGTCCCGGGACTATTTGGAGCACCGCAGCCAAACCTTTGCAACGCCCCCAGGTCCCACCCAATTTTTCTACACCGAGGAACCTGAGGGCTACACAGGCAGTTTTACCACAAGCCCAGGCCTTCCCTTTGATGGCTACTGCTCCAGGCCCTACTTGGCCGAAGAAGCCCCCAGACCCAGTCCAAGGCGTGGGGGCGGCTACTATGCTGGGGAAGTACGCACCTTCCCGATCCAGGAGCCCCCCTCCCGTTCCTACTACGGGGAGGCTCCTCGAGCCTACGGAATGCCTTTCGTCCCCCGGTATGTCCCAGAAGAGTCCCGGGCACATCCCAGTGCCCGCACCTTCTACACAGAGGACTATGGGAGGTTCCGTGAACGCGACATAATGGCTCGCACTTACCCGCATCCCCGCAGCAGTCCAGCCTGGGCTGATTGGGGTCCGAGGCCTTACCGCACCCTTCAGGTGGTGCCTCCTCCCGCCCCTGGACCACTGTTGGCCTCGTGGCACGGTGGCACCGGCACAAGCCCGCCCCGGCTGGTGACCGATAGCCGCCACTACTCTCGATCCTGGGACAACATCCTGGCTCCTGGTCCTCGTCGTGAAGACCCTCTAGGACGCGGCCGCAGCTATGAGAACCTGCTGGGACGCGAGGTTCGGGATACACGGGGTTCATCCCCGGAAGGCCGTCGTCCACCAGTAGTAGTGAACCTATCCACCTCACCCAGACGCTATGCAGCACTGTCGCTGTCCGAGACGTCACTTACAGAAAAGGGCCGTGGTGGGGAAAGCCTGGGCCGCAACTGGTACATCACGCCGGAGATCACCATCACGGACAATGACCTGCGCTCAGCAGAGCGCCCGACCACCAGGGGCTGGGAACTGCCTGGAGGCCGACAGCGGCAGCCAGCACCCAAGGTCCCTGAGGGCCCTGCCTCCAGCCGCCAGCGCAGCCTCGAGCAGCTGGACGAGCTCATCACTGACCTGGTCATCGACTCACGGCCACCAGGCCAGGCCCCAGAGCCTGCCACCGAAGGTTTAGGCCGCCAACTGCGCCGCCTGCTGGACTCACGGTCTGCGGGCCCTGGAGGAGCAACCGCGCTGGCTCCGTCGCGCTCACCCCCTGCCTCGGCTGGCAGCACCGAGGAGCCCACTGGCTCAGGGGAGGCAGCCGACGCTTCCCCGGAGCCCAGCGCCGACGAGGATGACTTGATGACCTGCTCCAACGCGCGCTGTCGGCGGACAGAGACCATGTTCAACGCCTGCCTCTACTTCAAGTCGTGCCACAGCTGCTATACCTACTACTGCTCGCGGCTGTGCCGCCGAGAGGACTGGGATGCGCACAAAGCGCGTTGCGTGTATGGCCGCGTGGGCAGCGTGTGCCGCCACGTGCTGCAGTTCTGCCGTGACAGCAGCCCGGTGCATCGCGCCTTCTCCCGGATAGCGCGTGTCGGATTCCTATCGCGCGGCCGTGGCGTGCTGTTCTTGGGCTTCCCAAGCCCGGGCTCTGCCGACAACTTCCTGCGCTTTGGCCTCGAAGGGCTACTGCTATCGCCCACCTACCTATCACTGCGTGAGCTGGCTACACATGCAGCGCCCCTGGGTAGCTATGCACGAGAGTTGGCGGCGGCCGGGAGGCTCTATGAGCCCGCGGAGTGCTTCCTGCTTAGTGTGTCGGTGGCCGTGGGCCCTGGAGCTGCACCCCCTGGAGCCGCTGCCCGTCCAGCGCCACGCAGCCCTGGCCCCACGGTGCGCAAGTTTGCCAAGGTGGCTCTGGCCGCCGGCAGCCCGACGCGGCCTCCTCCTGCGCGTGGTGGAGAGCCAGACATGGAAACGCTGATCCTAACGCCACCTCCAGGCACTGCGGGCCTGGACCAGGAGGGTGAGGCTGGCCGGCGCGCACGTGAAGTGGCCTTCATCCACATCCAGCGTGAACTGCGACTGCGCGGCGTCTTCCTTCGCCATGAGTTCCCACGCGTCTATGAGCAGCTCTGCGAGTTCGTCGAGGCTAACCGGCGCTTCACACCCACCACCATCTATCCCATCGATCGGCGCACTGGCCGCCCCTTCATGTGCATGATCATGGCTGCTTCCGAGCCGCGTGCACTCGACTGGGTAGCCAGCGCCAATCTGCTAGATGACATCATGTGAGCTTTGGGACTATTAGGCCCAGGCTCTGACCAGAGCCCTGCCTACTCTACTCAGGCCCAGCCTGATCCATCAAGACTGCCCCCAGAATCTGGACCAGCTGGTTCAGTGCCCCGCTAAGTCCCCAGGAGCCTTCCTTAGGCTTCTACAAAATCTCTGCCCTGAGCTCCACCCACTCCAAACATCTAACTTTGCCTAGGAGCCCACCCCCGCCACACTCCCCGACGACCTGTTTCCCATCAGCTGCTTCTCTTCCTTCCTGTTTTCAACCAGACCACCCAGATCCTACCTACATCCTGGGCTCTCAAGTCAGCCAGGGGGAGGGGGCTCCCCAAGAGCCCGGTCCTCGCCCTCGGTGCTCCCCGCTGGGAGGTGGGGTGGGCCTGAGGACCACTGGGCTCTGCCTTCTAGTGGAAGGTTACTACTACACACATCCCATGGGGACAAACGATATACTTCGTGGGTGCTTGCTATAGCTCGCCAACCCTGGATCCATTCCCTTTCCTCCTAGTCCAGCAGTTCATGTTGACCAAAACCTAAAGTCCTTACTGTAAGCAAGCACTTCCCTAACCCTCCTCCTGTGTCTGGGGTGTGTCAGGTTTCAGAGGCCTGGTTCCTGTGCATCCCTAGGATGTTGAGGCAATGGGCAGGGCGGATGCTACACCCTAACAGTACTGCCTGTCCTGAGGTTCTCTCACCTCTGGTCACCTTGGTCTGGGCCCTTGCAGGACCAGTTAGAATACTGAGGGGTCTTTAGGCCAAGGCCAAGGCTCAAGCCATCCAGCCAGAGGGGAACCAGGGAAGGGGAAGCAGATGGTGTGCTGGCCAGAGTTAAAATCTGGCTGGGTGAGGTTTGAGCTCATCCACACCTACTCAACAAGATGGCCCTAAAAAAATCCACTTTCCAGAGAAGATGGAAGCGCAGGCCTTAATCTCCCAGGGAGGTGGAAGTGTGTGCTGATGAATTAGCAGGGGACCCTTCATAGAGCAACACTTACCTGCCAACTGATTTGGGAATAAGGAACAGGGACTGTCCCTAACTAGGGACTGGTTGGGGTGCAGAGTAGTGAGCCACCCGGTGTGGGAACCGATAGGGAGCCGGTGCTGAGGCTTAACATGAGTCCAACCTATGCACAAAAGTGCCGCATACTCGCCCTGGCTGAACTCCAAGCTGAGAGTAGAAGCCAAAGCCTGGTGTGTAATGGAGACTGTAAGCCTAGGCAGCCCTGGGCCCCTTGTCGGACCTCTGCAGCCTAACTGCACCCGGATCTGAGCCCAGGGCTCCGTGGAGGGTGTGACCCTGAGAGGCTTGAGACCAGAAGCTGGACAAGTACTCTCTAGAACCCCGAAGCCCCTTCGTAGGTAAGGGAGGTCCAGCGCGAGAGCCTGGGACAACTCCCTGTGCGCGCAGTGTGCGCATGCGTCACTATCCCCCACCCCGTACCCTGCTCTGTGTCCCCGGACATGCCCGGAACTCCCACCTTCGCCTGTGTCTTAGCGCACCTGCCCCTTGCCGCCCTTGCAACACTTGCTGCCGCACCGCCTGCCGCCCTCCCCAGGGGCTCCACATTCCTTCCTGCGGCAGGCTGGTAAGAACGCCCCTGGCAAGAATTCGCCCATTTCCAAAGGGCAAATGCTTTCGAACCAAGTAAAATAGAACTTGAATGTAGCTGCTGCTAACTCTGTGGTGGTGGTGGTGGGGGTGGGGGTGGTGAGCGTCTGGGGCGTAGAAGTTTGGCAACGGGAAACCTTGGACGTGAGGTTATTGTGGAGGGGGAAGCCGGACGGGAGAGAGGTCCTCCGGCTTACGGATGTTGGGGAAAAGAAGACTTCTGATTTAATGGTTTATGCTAGGAAACTGAAGCCCTAGGACCCAGGAGTGGAGCCGGGATGCGTCAGTGCATCCTCTTTTGCTGCCCCACCTCCAGCAACTTGACTTACAGCATCACTGATTTCCCTAGATCGCAGCTCCTTTAACAGCGACTCAAGAGCTCAAAGCTGCAAAGAACTGGGTTGCAATTGGCTAGTCCGTGCCTCAGAACAAAAGTACAACTGGCTGAGGCTCTGGGCCTCGGGAAACATCCCCTCACGGGATTGGCCGGGGCTGCCAAAGGGCCCGCCTCCCGCACGCTAAGGCCTCGGTCGGGCTGGGAAAGGGGTTCTGGGGTCCTGAGGCCAAGCGCTCCGGGGAACATGGCGGCGGACCTCGCTCAGATTCCTGATGTGGACATCGACTCAGATGGCGTCTTCAAGTACGTGCTGATTCGAGTCCACTTAGCATCGCCCTCCGAGGATCCGACGAAGGAGTGCAAGGAAATCGTGCGTGGATACAAATGGGCAGAGTACCACGGTGAGGGCGGGGCCTCTGTGGGGTGGGACGAAGGTTAGGGGCGGGGCCTGAACCTTGCTGTTGCTGGTGGCGGAGCTGTGAATGCTAATGTACTGTGCCTTGTACTAACACTTAGCCAGGCTGACCTAGAAAAGTCGGGGTTTGGGGCAGAAAGGAGTGCGAGACCGGACCCCTTTTAGTCCCCTCTCCCTCTTCGAAAGTATCTTCCGTTCATCCTTGTGCCTGCGGGGGAGGGGCTCATCTCCACTGGGGAAAAGACCACCAAGACCTGGAGCTTCAAACTCCTATATCCAGCCCTAGAATCCATTATGGGGCCAACAGTGGCGACTAGGGCATATCCTAAGGCCCCTCTCCCCACTCCAGCGGATATTTATGACAAAGTGTCAGGCGAGCTGCAAAAGAATGGCTATGATTGTGAGTGCCTAGGCGGCGGACGCATCTCCCATCAAAGCCAGGACAGGAAGATACACGTGTATGGCTACTCTATGGTGAGCTCCGGTCCCCAGTCCCTTAGGCCAGACTGACCTTGTGAGCGCGACTCCCCGACCTGCTACTCAGACTACCTCTGGGACTCACAAGGTTGAAGCTACAGAACCCTTCAAGGCTGTGACTTCCTTTCCCCACATTTCCCATATGACATCAGGGTGATTGGAAGCCACCTGCCTTGGGCTGTACTCCCTCATCGTAGAGCCTTCTGGGTCTGTGTCCTGGCTCTTTGGGGGCGGGGAGGCTTGGGGCAGTCAGTGCTGGGGTCAAACTCAAAGCCCTGGTCGTCTCCATCTCTTTCCATAAAGACCACCCTGAAACCTCAGGCATCACCTACCCAGCCCATTCAGTTACCAGCATGGTTAGGATGGTAGGGTTTGGTTACTTTTCCCCTGCCTGCTATTAGTGTGCCTGCTGGGTGGACTCAGAAAGCAAAAGACCAGGCAGACTAGTGGTCATCTTCTCTCTAGGGTTATGGTCGTGCCCAGCACTCGGTTTCAACTGAGAAGATCAAAGCCAAGTATCCTGATTATGAGGTCACCTGGGCTGACGATGGCTACTGAGGCCCTGCTCCCCAGCAACTAAGTCAGGACTCTGCTCTTGCTGTGTTGTCTCTTGAAGGACTGGCCCCGTGCTTTCCTTTTGTACTTTTGGCAACATGCCACCTGCCAGGCCTCGGAAGCCAGAACAGTCTGGTCCATAGGAATTAAAAGCTTTGATAAGCCTGCTAGTCCCTGACTTGTGTCTTAGCTTTGCTACCTTTGGGTTGCCCCAGGATATACCTGCTCAGCTCCAGGAGGCCCTGGGGACTGTTGATGCATACTCAGCCCTTTGGATTCAGGTAAGGGGCCCCTGAGTTACTGCCATTTATGGCCTGATTGCTCCTCCATGAAGCTGCTATCCCCAAGGACATCTGAAAAGAGGCCCCACAAGATCTTGCACAAGAAGTCAATTCCTGGGGTGCCCACAGGTGCCCCCTTCCTGTAGTTCTAGGAATACCAGCAGGAAAGGGTCCTGGCACCACTCTCCTGGCTAGCTGATAGGCTGGCTGCATTATCCGTCTGTTCTCAGTCCCAGCCTGATACCTCTGAGTGGTCAACCAGCAGGGAAGAATCACGGTACCCACAACCCTTAAGACCCTGCGGCTGCACGCTAACTGCCTGTGTCTTACTCAGGATCTCTGACCTCGTATGTGTCTAAGTCCCTGGGCCATTCACACCCCATGAGCCTAAGTCTCTGTACCAACGCCACCTCACTGAACAGGATAGGGACAAACTTAATCCCTGCTCTAAGAAGTCCCAATGCACAGTGTGCCTTTATAGTTGGTACTAGGGAAAGCCAGGGCTGGGGGATCCCTTACCACACACTTGGGCCAGCCTTTGTTAGCTCATGATGTCCCTGTAGACTGCGAGTAGACCTTACTGAGATACCCTTGTATAGGCCAGCAGACAGGCTCAGGTGAGACAAGCCCCAAGGTCACAGTAAAATAAGTCGTAGGCAGAGCCTAGCTCCATATGACAAGCTCTTCAAAACTCCGACATCCCTCCTGCCTCAACTGTGGGAAAATGAGCCTGTGTGTTCATCAAGACTTTCCTATCGTGGGCCACCTAGCACATGGCTGCTCGGGACAGGTTTTAAAGACGAACAGGAGGCTCAAGATGGAGCTTGGTTGGTTGGAGTGCTTGCCTGGTATACACGAAATCCCCATGTCCAGTCTGGAGTACTGCATAAGCTAAGTGTTGCAAAGACATCTTTAATCTTAGTACTTGAGAGGTGGAGGCAGGGGGATCAGAAGTTATCCCCATAGTGAGTTCAGGGCAGCCTGGGTCACATGAGACCTTGTCACATACACACGCGCACATGCACACACACCAGAATAGTTGGCAGGGTGAAACAGCTTGAGTTGCAGGTGGTATCCTGACATGGGACTTGTTCTGGTCCACAGAGGCAGGCTGTCGATGCTGGACTTATCCTGCTCTGATCCCCTGAGCACAGAGTGAAGGAAGCCATGTGCAGCCCTTGAGTAGACCGCCCTGACATCCTTGGTCCGCACCAGGGCGGGGCTGAAGGCCTCATCTGAGAATCTTAGAGCCTTGCAAGTGGGGTCCCCAACCTCTCCACATTCCAATAGAAGCTTCCAGTGCGAAGGGCGGGGCAGGGCAGGGCTGGGTGGATGCACAGGATGCTCACGACCTGACCTTTGGTCAGAAAGAGCCAAGCAGGGCCCCCTTCTAGAGATACTTTTACAGCCGATGCTCGGCCTGTCATCACTGGATGGGACCCAGCCGAGGGGCTGCAGGTATAAAGGAGCTGAGCCCTTTCCACTGAGAGCTAAGTCAGCCTGTGAGGCCACTGTAGACTGATCACTGAGTAAAGGCTCCTCTAGGCTACACAGCCTCACTGGGACATCCTTCCTCCAGCCTGGCCATGCCCCTGCCTAGCCACCTCCTTTCAACCGTGGCCCTGTTTATGGGTAAGTAAACTACTGTATGGACCCAGCTGGTGTCAGGGCAGATACAGGAACTTGTCAGAAGCGAGTTGTCTACAATGAGGGAATCCAAAACAAGCCAACTGGGCTTGACATTGCCCATGTAAATCTTATCTCGCTGTCCTAGAGGAGAGGCCACGGGCCATCATAGGTGACCATCTACCCAGCTCTCTGAGAGCCTTTGCCTGCCACTTTCCCATTGTGGAACATGTGGAAGTTCCTTGGTCATCTTCAGTGTGTCTTGGTTTGGTTTGGTTTGGTTTTTTGAGACAGAGTTTCTCTGTGTTACAGTCCTAGTTGTCCTGGAACAAACTCTTGTAGACCAGGCTGGCCTCGAACTCACAGAGATCTGCCTGCCTCTGCCTCCCGAGTGCTGAGATTAAAGCGTGCGCCAACTGCCCAGCTCAGTATGTCTTTTGGGGGAGTAGGGAGACCCTACTTACTGGAAACACTTCTAATTCCTAGTTATGTGGGCTCCTGTGCCTTCCATATGGGGTGTTTCTTGTTAAGAGCCGTTTCCCTCTCTGGCATGCAGGGGCTCTGTGGGACTAGGAAGGGGAATGCATTTTGTCTGCTTTTGATGTAGAGCCTCAGTGGCAGTTCTTGGCAGATGCCAGGTTCCTCTCTATGTGATCTCATAGGGCTTAACCCTGAAGTCAATCGGGTCTGGGGTTGCCACTCATGGCTGTAAATGTCTTTACAGAAGGTAAATACAGAAGGTAAAGACATTTGCTGTCAAGCCTGATGGCGTTTGTGCAATCCCTGAGCCCCGCATGGTGGAAGGAAACAAATGGTTCCCACCTCAGTTGTCCTTTGACCTCCACACCTGTTACATAGCACATACATGTACACACATACATACATACATACATATATGTGTGTTTAAAAAAATAAAAGCAGCCAGTCCCCTTGCCCTCTGCTCACTTGGTTCTTACTCTGCCAGCTGCGCAGTCCCTAGGCAAGACCTGGGTCCCCGGCCACTGCAGAAGTCCTGTTGAAGCCGTATGCAACTTTGTGTGTGACTGCGGAGACTGTTCAGATGAAGCCCAGTGTGGTGAGCTGGTCTGGTGGGAGTGGCAGGGAGTGGCGGTGTGAAGGCAGACAGCTGAGCACTCATTCTCGTAGGTTTCCACGGTGCCTCGACCTCCCCGAGTAGCCCTTTCTCCTGCAGCTTCGAGCAGGACTCCTGTGGCTGGCGGGATATCAGCACCTCCGGCTACAGCTGGCTTCGAGACCGGGCAGGAGCAGTGCTGGGTGGTCCTGGGCCTCGTTCTGACCACACACAGGGCACTGACTTGGGTAACACCTAGGAAATCCCTGTGCATGCACCCTGTTCTCCCAGCTTGGCTTCCTGTCTGGCCACCTAACCTCTCACCTTGGGCCAGGCTGGTACATGGCTGTGGGAACCCACCATGGGAAAGAGGCGGCCACTGCCACTCTGCGCTCCCCTGTCATGCGTGAGGCAGCCCCTACCTGTGAACTGAGGCTCTGGTACCACACAGCTTCTCGAGGTGCGTGCTGTGGCTGGGCGAGAAAGGGGGGGGGGGCTACAGAAACAGGAGGATACTCCAGGATGAGGGCTGGGGTACAGCTGGTGGGCGGGTGGGAGGCACCGGGGGCTGAAGACGCCCCAGGACCACTCAGAAACACTGCAGATGCTGCTGAGCTGCGACTGGAGCTGATTCATGGTGTGGAGACACTGACCCTGTGGCAGAGCTCAGGACCCTGGGGTCCTGGTTGGCAGCGGCTGGCAGTGAACACTGGCCGTATCCAGGGTGACTTCAAAGTAAGCTGGGTGGTCTTCCAGGCTGGGGACCATGGGGAGGTTCTGGGCACTGGCCTAGGTCCTAAGGACCCTTTTCCTCTCTCCAGGTGACATTTTCTGCCACCCGAAATGCCACACACAGGGGTGCCGTGGCCTTGGATGATGTGGAGTTCCGGGACTGTGGGCTGCCTGGTAAGACTGTAGCTCACCCTGTCCAAAGCTGGGAGACCCTCACTGCCCACCTCCCTGAGGCCACAGTGGCCTAACTGTCTTCCACCCCAGTCCCTCAGGCCAGCTGCCCCCTGGGACAGCACCACTGCCAGAACAAGGCCTGTGTGGAGCCCCACCAGCTGTGTGACAGCGAAGACAACTGTGGGGACAGATCTGACGAAGACCCGCTCATCTGCAGTGAGGCTGGGGCCATCCTGGGCCGGGCAGGGTGAGGGACTACAGAATGAGACGGGGAGGCTGGACCTTGATCTCTGGGTCCTTCAAAAACCACTGGGGCTAGTCCAGGAAAGCAGACATGGGCATAGCCATTCCGGATGGGACAGCCAGTGTCTCCCTGGAACCAGGGCCGTCTGACGACATAAAGTCCTGCTCAGTGGCCCTGATAACGCCTCGACCCCACTCCTTAGGCCAGCACATGGCCACTGACTTTGAGACGGGCCTGGGACCATGGAACCAGTTGGAGAACTGGACCCGGAACTGCAGTGCTGGCAGCGTGGTGAGCCCTGCCTGGCCCCACCGAGATCACAGCCAGAACAGTGCATATGGTGAGGTCTCCAAGGGACCCTGGACATGGTCCTGTCCATCCATCTCTCTCCCAGTGACCCTGGCCCACATTGCCCTCTCTCACAGGGTTCTTCCTAGTCTCTGAGGCCAAGCCTGGCACCGCTGCCGTCCTCTTTAGCCCTGAGTTCCAAGCCTCAGTCCCTTACAACTGCTCGGTAAGATGGGTGTGCGAAACAATAAGAGACACATGGGGTTGCCCTTCCTGGTTGTTTTTGTTTTTTGTTTTTTTTTTGTTTTTTTTTTTGGGGGGGTTTTTTCGAGACAGGGTTTCTCTGTGATTTTGGAGCCTGTCCTGGAACTAGCTCTTGTAGACCAGGCTGGTCTCGAACTCACAAAGATCTGCCTGCCTCTGCCTCCCAAGTGCCGGGATTAAAGGCATGCGCCACCACCGCCCGGCTTGCCCTTCCTGGTTGTTTAGATGCCAGAGGGCCCTTGCAACCAGAGATGTCTTCTCTTTCAGCTCACCTTCTATTACTACCTGCATGGATCTGAGGCCAGCCGCTTGCAGCTGTTCCTGCAGGCACAGGGGCTCAACGCCACCCAGGCTCCTGTCCTCCTGCGGAGCCACCGTGGAGAGCTGGGGACAGCCTGGGTCAGAGACCGGGTTGACATTCAGAGTGCCCACCCATTCCGAGTGAGGCTGGGATCGGGGGTGGGATCCAGGGAATCCTGCTAGAGCATGCGCAGAACATGGCATGCCTTGTCGTCACTCTTGAGGGCTGCTCAGTGGGAGAGTTTGAGAGTATCTGGCAGTGAACAGTGCAGGGATGCGGGGGAGGGGGCATATAAGAAGGAAGACAGGACAGAATAATGCTTGGCCCTCCCTGAGCCCTCCCTGTCCTCAGATCCTCCTAGCTGGGGAGACTGGTCCAGGAGGCATTGTGGGCTTGGATGACCTCATCATATCCAACTACTGCAGACTTGCTCCCGGTGATATGCCCAAGGCCCTCCCCTGGCCTGCCCAGGTAAAGCCAGGTCCTCACCCACTCCAGCCCGACCCCAGTCCTACTCCAGGTGTGTCCACTCTGCAGTCATCATGCTCTGTCCCCAGACGTCCATCAGACTGCCCCAGAACGCCTGCGAGCCAGGGCATCTCTCCTGTGGAGAGCTGTGTGTGCCCCCGGAGCAGCTCTGTGATTTCCAGCAGCAGTGCGCCGAGGGCGAGGATGAGTGGAAGTGTGGTGAGGCCGGGCAGAGCCTGGGTTCCGTGTGTGCAGGGGGCCCAGGCAGGCTAGGGATCTGGGCTTTGCTGCCTTCCAGAGCAGGCTACTGTTGTTGCAGGCACCACAGACTTTGAGTCCGCCTCTGCCGGTGGCTGGGAGGACATCAGTATAGGAAAGCTGCAGTGGCAACGGGTTGAAGTCCAGAACAGGAAGCCTGCCAGGGATGCCAACTGGGATGTTCCTGGTAAGGCCACTTTCCCACAGGAGCCCCCTCTTGGAGAGTGTGTGTAAGACAGGGATACCAGAGCAGTGAGGGGTACCTTGTTCTTCCCATAGGGCACTTCCTGTCTCTGCAGAAGGCCTGGGGGCAGCTAAGATCTGAGGCCCGGGTTCTCACACCTGCCCTGGGCCCCTCTGGTCCTCGCTGTGAACTCCACATGGCTTACTGTTTTCACAGTCATCCCCAAGGTATTATATGCCTTTTGGCCCCGGAGGCCACCTGCATGTGGACAGGGTCTGAGGATCACCCACCCACACAAACTCCCTTGGTCAGGTTTCTTGGCACTGGTTGTGGTACAGAATGGCTTCCGGGAGCTGGTGTGGCAGGCCCCAAGCAGCAGCAGCAGGGGATGGACGGTGGAGAAGGTTCTTCTTGGGGCACGCCATCGACCATTCCAGGTGAGAACAGCAATCCAGGATGGGGAATCTGTAATGAGCCTGCCCCTAGCTTACAGTCCTTTCCCTCTACCTGCTCAAAGCTGGAGTTCGTCAGTCTGGTGGACTTGGATGGCCCTGGCCAGCAGAGGGCTGGGGTGGATAATGTGACCCTGAGAGACTGCGACCCCACAGTGACCACTAAGAGTGACCAAGGTCTCTCCTGCCCACCTCCCATCTCTACCCAGTCAATCTCTAATCCTTATCACAGTGGGAATGGGGGCCAGGGGTGGGGTGCTGACCTCACCCCACCCTACCCCACTCCCAGAGGTCTCCTGTAACTTTGAACGGGACTCATGCAGCTGGCACACTAGCCACCTCACAGATGCCCACTGGCACCGTGTAAGAAGCCATGGCTCTGAGTACGACCACACCACTGGCCAAGGTAGGGGAGTTCCCGTGGTTCTCTGAGGCCTGGGAGGGGAGCGCAAGCTGGGAGAGCATTTCTGCAGCTCAGCTTTCCATCCCTTGTAGGTTTCTTCATGTTCCTGGATCCCACAGACCCACCTGCTCGTGGACAAGGTGCTGTCTTGCTTACAAGACCCCAGGTGCCGCTTGCCCCCAAGGAATGTCTCAGCTTCTGGTACCATCTGTATGGGCCCCAGATTGGTGAGTCTGAGCTGTTAGACCCTCTGCATGTACCTGGCACCCACTGCAGCCTGAGGCACCAGGAGTTGGGGTCTGTTCCCCTTTAAACTCCACTCCTCTTCAGGGACACTGCGCCTGGCCATGAGGAAGGATGGGGAGGAAGACACACTGCTGTGGTCCAGGTTGGGCACCCATGGCAACCGCTGGCACCAGGCTTGGGTCACTCTTCACCACCAGCTAGAGGCTAGAACCAAGTACCAGGTGAGGGTGAGCTTGGCACTTGGTAGATGGTGTAGGGTTGGCCCCCGCCAATTACCACTCTCTACCCTCAGCTGCTGTTTGAAGGCCTCCGGGATGGGTACCATGGCACAATGGCCCTGGATGACATAGCTGTGCGGCCAGGCCCCTGCTGGGCCCCCAAGAGCTGTTCCTTTGAAGACTCTGACTGTGGCTTCTCTCCAGGGGGCTTAGGGCTGTGGAAGCGCCAGAGTAATGCCTCAGGCCATGCTCCTTGGGGTCCTTGGATAGACCATACCACAGAAACAGCCCAAGGTACTGCTCTGGCTGGGATAAGGGTACAAAGGGCTGGCCAGGGGAAAGCAAGCTGATGCTGGTCTCCCTTCCCCCAGGGTACTACATGGTGGTGGACACCAGTCCAAATGTACTGCCCAAGGGTCATGTGGCCTCTCTGACCTCAGAGGAGCACCAGCCCCTGACCCAGCCTGCCTGCCTGACCTTCTGGTACCATTTTAGCCTTCATAACCCAGGTGAGGGGCTATAGAAAAGGGAAGGGCCCGTCCTCAACTAGGGAACCCCTAAGGCAGCTAATCTGGCTGGTTCTCGGTGGGTAGGCACCCTGAGGGTCCACATGGAAGAGGACACAAGGCGTCAGGAGCTCAGCATCAGTGCCCATGGTGGATTTGCCTGGCGTCTGGGCAGTGTGAATGTGCAGGCCGAGCAGGCCTGGAGGGTGAGTGCCTGGGCGGGGGGGGGGGGACGGGGGACGGGGGGGGGACGGGGGACGGGGGGGGGGGACACCTCTGTCATCCTCAAGAGTTGCTAGACCAGCCTGCATGATCTGTGGCTCGGCACCCTGTAGGTAGTGTTTGAGGCCGTGGCCGCAGGTGTGGAGCGTTCCTACATGGCTCTGGATGACCTCCTCCTCCGAGATGGGCCCTGTGCTCAGCCAGGTGAGCAGCTTGCTGTGGCCTGAGTACATATCTATGGCAAAAACATAATTCTCTGCGTTTTGCCCCCACCTGGCCCTGCCCCAGGCATGGTGATGCTTACTGGGGCAGCTCTGCTTACCTGTTAGTTCCTTGCAGGGTCCTGTGACTTTGAATCTGGCCTGTGTGGGTGGAGTCACCTGGCTTGGCCCAGCCTAGGTGGGTACAGCTGGGACTGGAGCAGCGGAGCCACCCCATCGCGCTACCCCAGACCCACAGTGGACCATACCCTGGGTACAGAGGCAGGTGCGCATTGGCTGTAGTGGGACCGGGGCTGTGTTCACTCAACGTTCCTCAAGTTAGAGACCATCACGTCAAGTGAGCCAGCACATCCACCCTCTCATTTCCAGGCCACTTTTCTTTCTTTGAAACCAGCGTGCTCGGTCCTGGGGGCCAAGCAGCCTGGCTGCGCAGTGAGCCACTGCCAGCAACCACAGCCTCCTGCCTCTGCTTCTGGTACTACATGGGCTTTCCTGAGCATTTCTGTGAGTGGCTGGGTCCTGGGTGTAGGGGAACCGTGGCTCAGGTTAAGCACAAAGGTATCCTCCAGGAAGCTGAGCTGACCTGCCCTGGTCCCTGCTCTCAGATAAGGGCGAGTTGAGGGTGCTTTTGAGCAGTGCCCGAGGCCAGCTAGCTGTGTGGAGCCAGAGAGGGCGCTTGCGGCACCAGTGGATACGAGCCCAAATCCAAGTGTCCAGCTCTGAGGAGTTCCAGGTGAGTTCCCAGGGCAGCTGTCCTCCCTCCCTCTCCTGTCCCTGCAGATACTCATCAGCTTTCCCTTCCCCATCAGATTGTTTTTGAAGCCATTCTGGGTGGCCAGCCAGCTCTGGGGCCCATAGCCCTAGATGATGTGGAGTACTTGGCAGGACAGCACTGCCAGCAGCCTGCACCTAGCCAGGGTAAGCACTGGGCCCAGGATGGCCGAGATGGCTGCAAGTACTGTGCCCAGCTCAGGAAACCAGCTGAACCAGGACTGGGTTCTGTGCTCTCCTGCCTATGCCTCACAGAACCGTACCCATAAGGGGTGGGCTGTACATAGGGGCTGCACCAGCTTTCACTGTCTCCTGGGTGAGAACTGTCTCGAAGGAGCTGCCAGGCTAAGCTGGAGACCACAATGGGAGCTGTGTTTGGCAGTCACTGGCTTCCGTCATGCTGGGAGGAAGAGGTGGAGCAGCTCTGCAGTATTGTGCTGACATGAATAAGGGCAAACCTGGAAGCCAGCAAGGGCTGGAGGCATTAGGCAGCCCAGGCTCATTCCTTGCCAGTAGTCCTGGAAACAGAACCCTGACACAAGGACTGGGAGCTGTTTGGAGAACCCAAGTACCCCTCTGCCCTCAGGTGAAATGGCAGCAGCTGTGTCTGTGCCAGTTGCTGTTGGAGGGGCCCTCCTCTTCTTCGTGTTCCTGGTGCTCCTGGGCCTTGGGGGCTGGCGTTGGCTACAGAAGCGCTTCCCCTTTCATAGGAGTACAGATACAGCATCCTCTGGTTTTGACAATATCCTCTTCAATGCGGTAGGAACCCCCAGATGTGGGCAAGTGGGAGATTCTGTCTCCATGCTCGATGATGGGAAAGCAGTGGTGGGCTGGACTCGAGAAGAAGCACCTTGCCCTACCTGTCCAGGTCCAGGCTGTCTTTCAACGGCAGTTGTCCAATATTCCTCCTTCTTCCTAGGATCAAGTTACCCTCCCAGAATCCATCACCAGCAGCTCCCCAACCAGACAAGGCCTGGCCCCTCGTGCCAACTCCCACAGCATTCAGCCCTCAGATGCCTAACCTCCGTTTGGGCCTGGATGTACGGATTGGGTCATGCTTAGTTTCTACAGCTCTTCCTCCATCTGGTGACTTTGCCCTCTGGTGTGATCAAGGGTAGAGGGATCCTTGCACTGTGAATAAATGTTCTTCACCAGTGAGAGCAACCCAAGCTTTCAGACTGCATTTCATATACACTGTACTTGGCATGATATATCATGGCCGCCAGGGTTCAAGACCAGAGACAAAATTCAGGGAGTGGATGTGGAACCCCCTCATTGCTTTTGGTGCAGCTCAGAAATTACAGGATTCACCACCCTAGCCAGCAAGGAATGGGCTCTGCTTCTAACTTACCAGATGATTTTGTGCCGTGATGATGGGATCACCCCATAGATGCAGGAAAATGGACATGGTGCCATGAAACTGGTATGGTGAGAAATGCCACCTCAGATAAAGGCCTGGACAGCCCTTGGGCTGCAAGTGGTGGCGCTGAGGTCAGTGGGTATGGCCATCATGTCTTACAGCAGGATTGGACTAAAGACGTGAGAAGAGATCTTGGGCTGCCACCCTGGCCCAGGATCCTGTTGATGTGCTGGTGACACACCTGTTCCAGGAACGGTTTCTGAAGTGCCATCTTCCACATAAACCCTCAGCTGTGGCCTCACTGAGGACTGAGGGCCCTGAGGGAAGGGGCATAGACACCCACACCTCAGCAATCAGGAGCTCCTTTCCTGTCCAAGGAAACCTGTCCTTGCCACAGATACCGTTATGTTCCAAGCTAGGCTTCTGTCTGTCCAAAACCCAGCTCCATGGGAAAGAGGTGGTGGGACATGGTGCGAGCAACATGGTACCACCCTGTATCTTCAGGTATCACAGAGCTGACTGATGCGCACTTCTATGAGCAGACAGGGAAAGAACTTTCAAATTCCTTGGGTCCCTGTGAGGTATCTACCACGAAGGATGCCTGCTTTTATCCCCTACAACATGATCTACAATGAAGAGAGAACTGGGGACTGCAGAATGCTAGGCTCTGCTTCTCTCCAGCAGAACACGGGCTCTTAGAAGACAATCACCTCCTCCCAGGCACTACCTCCCAGGGAATTCTTTAACTCCCCAGAACTGAACTCCCCACTGCAGCCAGCTGTCCAAGGGACAGAAGGTGCAAGTCCGCACCCCTGCTGAGGTCAGAAGGCAGGGAGGAAAAAGCCAAGAGGCTATCACTTTGCAAGGTTTTGCTTTGTTTGACAGCAGGTATGGGTTGAGGGGGCACACAGGCCTGACCCCCGTGTTCCGTTTAACCATGTGAGGAGACCCACGGCAGTGCTGGTGGTCCTGGGGGACCAGCCAGAAGAGCTCAGCCGGAACCACTGGCTTCGAGGCTTTGTGTTCATTTCGCCTTCGGCCCCTTCTCGATAGGCTTCCCGATGTCCTTCCCCCGGAGCTTGAGGCCTGAAACAACGAGCCAGCAAGATGCTGACCACTCTGCAGCTTCCTGCACCTTCCCAACCTCCCTGCTCTGCCCGAGCTTCCCATCATCCACTTGCCTCACAAAGCCTCCACACAGGGCGGCTTTCACATCTGAGTGTGGGCCAGGCTGGCCATGGGGGCCCACTCCAGCAATCCCAGAGCTCAGGAGACTGAGGTAGGGGGACTGGTGTGAGTTTAAGGCCAGTCTGAGCTACAGAGAGACTCTACATAAAAAATAAAATCTAAGCCAGACGTGGTGGTGCACGCCTTTAATACGCATAGGAGGCAAAGGCAGGCAGATTTCTGTGAGTTCAAGGCCAGCCTTGTCTACATAGTTTCAGGACAGACAGAAAAAAATAAATAAGTAAAAATAACAAAATCTAAAAAGATGAGAAGATAAACATCTTGATGTCTTGTCCCAGAAGAACTGGAACACTGCACTGGGCCTCATGGAGGTGCACTGCAGAGGTAAGCCATGTGCCATGTAGGCACCCTGAGAACAGTGTGTTCTGGCTGGATGTTAGCTATAGAAGGACCCAAGTCCCCATTTCCTCAGGGTTCTGGAGTCCCACCAAGCCTCAAATCTTTAGGCAGGATTCTAGTAGTTTGGCCTCAAGAAGACAGGAGCCTGCCATCTCAGCCCTCACCACCCCTTACAGAAGGGCAATGCCTTGTCCAAGACTGCTAGGGAAGACACTCACCGATGGCTCTCTCAATTTTGCCCAAAACCTGGTTATTCGGAATGGCCCGTCCACTTTCATAGTCTGCGATGACTTGCGGCTTTTCATTGATTTTCTGAAGAAAAGATGCACCTTAGCCATACTAGCTCAGTAAGATGTGCTGCAGAATCCAGACGAGGTACCCACAGGCAGCCATCTTTGTTTGGGGTCCCTGGTACCCCCATACAAACAAGTCTTGTACAAGAAAGAGCTACAGCTTCTCTGACCTGGCTTTCCCAGAGGATTTGGGGTGTGCTAGGGTAAGGTCCCAAAGCTGTGCAGTGAGCCCACCTTCCCTATACTGTCTAAGCACCTGTCACCTGTCCCCACTCCGCAGCTGCAAAAGCCTCACCGTGGCCAGGTCCTTCTGTGTCAGGCCCTTGCTCTGCCGGCCCCGCTGAATCACTTTGCCCACCTCCAGGGTCACCCTGTCGTGATGCAGCTCCTCTGTCTCCCGGTCTAGCTTGGCTGTGTTCTTAGTGATGGAATGCTGCTTGTTCTGGCCAGCAGCCCCTGGAGGCAATGTGAGCAGAACAGAGCAGAGTCAGTTTGCACGGAGCACAGGAGAAACCAGACTGACAGGGTCCCAGGCCCAGCTGACCTGGACTTCACGGACCTCAGAGCCCTGAATCTCAATCTTCCCACAGCAGTGAGAAGTTAGCGGTCCCTGCGGAGCTCACACCACCCAGAGCTACGCTGACTGGCAGGTCCCCAGGGCATTGCCCAACCATACCACCAGGCAAGCTGTCCCACAGCACATCCTGGCTTTGCGGGTGGAAACTTGAGTACCTACATTTCTTGGATGTCTCCACATCTTCTCCTCGTCTCTGAGCTGCTAAGATGGCCTAGAAAACCAGAAAGTGGTTTTCAATCAAAATGAGCTTTGGGGGAGTGTGGGGCACAATTCGGACAGCTGTCTGCCAACTGCATGCTGCTCACTTTTAAAAGACTGATACATACTGCTGGCTAAAACAATCCAAACTCATCACAACAGTGTCCCCTGCCCCCACTCTGGTCTTACTTTCCATGTTTGGTTGATCCATGGTCAGCTTTAGTTCCAAAACATTAAATTCCATATAACAAACAATTCATAATTTTAAAATTTTGTATGTTCTGCAAGGTGATACGGTTTCATACCAGCCCCACTGTCTCACCTGAGACATAAGCCATGCCTCTGTCCACGTGTGTCCGTGCTATGCATGCTACCTGCCTCTTACTCATCTACCTGACCACCTCTTTGGTTAGCAGATAGCCACCAGGGCATCAAAACAGACTTTATGGTCAAGAAATCATGATGAAGGAGCCTAATGCTACCTAACAATGGCTATGTGATTGACATCACTCTAGGGCACCATTTAGATACTGTATCATTTACACCATCCCTAAAAGAAGGGTGAGTGTAGGACCCCAAGAGAGAAACCACATTTGCACAACTCTGACTACAGTGCACTGTTTTAACAGGCTTTTCCCAGCCATTAGTTACAACTGGCTTTTTAAAAATGTATTTATTTTCTGTGTATGAGTGTTTGCCTGCATATATGTCTATGTACCACATGCACACAGTGCCCCCAGAGACCTAGAACTGAACTTACTGACAGATGTGAACTGCCACATCCATGCCTGGACACGAACCTGAGTCCTCTGCACGAGCAGCAACACTCTTAACCACTCCCAGCCACCTCTCCAACTTAGCACTATTCTTCCCTGTGCCCCAATTTATAAACTCTGTCACGGTTATTTCTGAGTAGGAAAAACACGGTACATACAGGATCCAGTACAACTCAGGTCAAGGCATCCACTGAGTAGCCTCAGAAAGTATCCCCCAAAGAAACAAGGACACTGTACACAAAACCCTCAATACCCAAATAATGTACATTAAACCACTCTAAAAGAACCAACTCACTTCTACACTAGTCAGGCTTGAGCTGAGTATGGTGGCACACAACAGTGATCCTAGCACTCAGGAGGCTCAGATGGGAACCCAGGCCAGTGTCAGATACGGGGCAAGACTTGTTTAGTACTAAATACACAAGGTCCTGGATTCGATATCAACACCACAATAAATAAGTTATGTGTGTGTGTGTGTGTCTCTCTGTATGTATACATGCTTATACACATCTACACAAACATATATAAGGCTAACAGGTTCTTTATTGAAAATAGAGCTATTCCTCTTCCAAACTCTGCTACAAAGCAGGAAAGAATGGAATGCTGGTCTGGCTTCCTCGGCCAGTATGGCTCCTAACGAGAGATGACATACCCCGCAGAACCTTGCAGTCTCCCTGGAGACAGGACCTCTAACAGTAACATAATGTTTCGGCAAAGTGGTTTGTGAGCCATTCTCTGTGTAATATGTTCAGACTTTCTACACACTTGGGATGACTCCATGTTCCCTTGAAAAGAAAAGGCTTGTGAATTTGGCTTTGCCTATGCAGCAAGCAACTAAACCAAAGCAGGCCAGTACGCCTCAAGGTACCACAGCACTCAGGGCTCGGGAAAGCAAAGTGGAGAGAGCACTAGGCCACAGGAGGCCACCACTGCCTCAGACAGTACTCTTTATAGGCTGAGATCGCCTGGGCACCAAGCCACCAGCGATGCCAGCTCAGGCTGATACCAGGTACGGACAAAACCTTCAGCAAGAAGACTGCCCCTGCCCCGGCTCCCAAGACTCCTGTGCCTAATGCCTCTGCTCCTTACCCTACATCTCGTGACGAGCCAGGTTCTATGACCTACTCTTGTACCTGTCCTGAACCCTGTTTCCATCTTCATCCACGTCCCCACCCAGGCCTGTCCCAGTCCAGAGCTCGGGTCACATCCCATCCCCCAACCTCTGACCCTTGCCCCAGCCTCGCCCAGGTCAGCTGCCCTCTGTCCCAGTCTTTTTCCCTACTCCATCCCCACCTGTTGTCCCACAAGGTCCCCACCCTCGTCCGTTCCGTTCGGGTCCCCACCCACTGCCGGATTCCCCAGGCTCGGCCCAGCGACCGCAGCGCACCGCACGGCCCTGCAGCTTCCCGCCGCCCCCCACGGGCTGGGCACCTGCTTAGACTTGGCCTGTGCGGCCGTGGGGCCCTTCTTGCGCAGCACCGTCACGGTGTCCCAGTCGCTCTCGGCCATGGCGCG